CATGGAAATAACCTACAGGGAGACGTGAAGTGGCTCCCTCTATGGCCCCAACTCTCCGCATCTTCCAAGTGAGAACACCACCTCCTGCCGCAGCTCTCCTGGATGCTGGTGGGCTGAAGGGTCTCTGTGCCCCCGCCCCCCAGGGAGGGAGGTCTGCCCCTCCCTCCCCACACCTCAAGGGCCCATGGTGGCCCCTCTGTTGGTTCCAGCACCTATGAGCACAGGGACTTCGAAGGCCAGTGGATCTGGAATCAAGTCCAGACAGTTTCCTCGTTATTTAACTGTGTGAGTTCATTTACTGCCTGCCACCAACGTCCAGATTTCTCAGGACGACTGGTGAAGGGGTTATATTGTCCCTGTATTACAGATAGAAAGGAAACCGAGTCAGGATAGCTGAAGAAACTTGTCTAGTAAGCACAGCTGTGACCAGGCCCCCCCTGCCCGAACCCTGCCACCAGAGATGTCGGTCAGATACAGCAGGGACCACACTTAGCTCAGGGCTCCAGCAAAAGCCCTTAATGAGGTCCGTGTCATTAATCACAATCAAAGGCTCTGCTAATGGGGTCAAGCCCTCGGCTTATCTCTGCCTGTCCTTGGACTGTGTTGAGCACCAGCCCTTGCCACAGGGCCCTGATGAGGCCGTTGGGGTGGGGTATCGGAGGCCAAGATGGGATCTAATCGGGGTGCTCGTTAAGGGGTCATAGGGCACTCAATATCGCAGCCAGGAGGCGAGATGCCAGGGTGGGGTGGAGGGAAAGGAGCCGCTGGTGTTGGGCGACTGGTCGGACTTGCCATTTCCCATGCCGCCCGCTGTCTCGGAGCAGCCTGGGCCCTGGAGAGGGGTGGGGTGCCAGGTGGAGTTTGATCTCGAGGTCAGCAGGCAGGGGGAGCAGGGAGTTGGGCAGGCTCCAGCAGGGCAGCCCTGGAGGACTCCCTGGTGGGGGTAGGCCAGGGCTGAGAAGAGGAAGAGGTAGAGGAGGAGGGGAATGCCTGGCCTGTGACCTACCCCCAGGCCAAATCCCATGGCCCCTTTCTGCCTCTGACTGAGGCCTCCATTGATTTTGTTTTCATCCATTTCTTCTTCCTGCGAGTCCATCTCTTGCCTCTTTCTCAGGCTCCTTCAAGACCCATCCACTCATTCTCTAAGGCCCAGTCCCAACCTGGCTGTCCTCTCTTCCCTGTCACCACCCTGGTCTGAGCCGCCGCCAGTCCCTCACTTAGACTATCGCAATGGCCTCAGGACTGGCCTCCAGGGTCCACTCCGGCCTCACCCCTCTACCGTCCTCACAGTACCTGTCAGGACAGCTGTCTTACAACATGGTCTGATCAGCTCTCCTGCTCAAACCCTCAGGGTCCCGCCTCCCTTGCTCAGGTCAAGCGAGTCTGCTTGGTCCTTACGGTGCTCCAAAGCTGAGGGAGCTCTGACCTCTGCTCCTTGGTTATTCCATAGCCGGTGTCTCACACATCCCAGACCAGTGAACACAGGGAGGGGGTCCTGGGCCCCAGGTCACACAGCCTTTACAGCAGACCTGGGATGCAAACCCCGGCCATCTGGCTTCAGAGCCTGCGTGATACCCAGGGCACAGAAATAGCCCCGTGTGTGTGTCTCTGTACCTGCAGAGAAAACACTGTCTGAGTTTTACTGACAAGGACATGGAAGTCCTCAGAGGGGACAGCCCATGCCTGGGGTGGTGTGGCACATACAGGGGGCATGGGCTTCGAACTCCAAAGCTGGGTGCATCCTCCACACTGAGCCAGGCTCCGTGGCCAGGCTCCAGGGTGGTGGGAAGACTGCCGGAAGCCAATTCCAGCATGTCAGCAAGGGCTGAACCATCCAGAGTGGCAAGGGCATTTCCCCAAACCTGAAAAGGGATGATTGCTTGCTGCCAGACAGCTCAGGGCATCTTAATCTACATGTTATTGCCTCCTACTGGCCAAACACCTGAACAGCCGTAGGCTAATTCTCCCGAGTCTGACAATGGACTCTGTACCAAACCCTACCCTTTGAAGCTTATATCTCTACCTCGCCTTAGGACAAATTGTGTTAATAAAAAGCAAGGGGTCTTGAGATGAAAAACATATTAGTTCCTTTTAGCTAAGCTCCTCTGATCCCCAAATGCCCTTCAAAATTATACTTCGTCTCTGGACTCTTTATTAAGTTACACACAGCCCTTCTCCAGATTGCTGAACCCTTCTAGATGCCGGATCAAGACCCCCGGCATTAATCCATGACAGGAGAGCTGGAAGAGAATGGTCAGGAGGCAGCACCCCAACAGGAAGCGGCGGGGCCCAAGGCAAATGTGGCCCCTGCATCCGCCAACACGGGAGCCAGAGCCTCAGCACCATCTCCTCTGCCTTCAGCCCATCAGCTCCCAGGAAGAGATTTTAACAACTGGCGCAGGCGGCCTGGGTCCTGGGGACGGCTCACGAGGGTGACTTTGGGGCAGGCTGGCCAGCAGGGGGAGAGGCTCAGTGGGCACTGAGCCGAGGACTCGATGTCAGGACAGCAGCAGAGGTACCGTCTGCCCCGGCGTCTTGCAGAGACGCGGGCCAGTGAGGAGACGCGCTGGGCTGGCTGGCGGGCACCAGGGTGATACCCACTGGACACTCAGAGGGACTGGAGCCACCCGAAGGGGAGGAGGGCATATTTAGGGGCTTAAGAAACAGGTATTTAGGTAGGAAAATGTGGCGAGCCGGCACGGCCATGGCATGCTCAGCCCCACGTTGGGCACCTTATGTGCCGTGCCAGCTCAGCCAGGTTCGGTGAGCCTGAGGGGGCAGTGAAGGATGGAGAAAAGACGGACAAGAGAAGAAAGCTGGGTCTGGGTGGGACGCTGGCCTCTCTGATGGAGAGCTAGCGAGAGCGCCATGGACTACAAGCCGTGTCTTTTATAGCCAGATTCCACGAGGCAAAGTAAGGGTGCGGTCAAGGTGTTTACAACAGTCTTATGGGTTTCAATCCTACTCAGTTACATGCACCTGAACTCTATCAAGCCCACATCACTCAGGCATGTGGGGCCACATGTTCGGACCATAGGTTCAAGCTTACAACTACAGCTGGGACTTGCACGTGGCTGTGAGAGGACTGTGCCCTCTCATCAGTCCAAGGCTTGAACCCGTCCAAACACTAGCTGCTCCTCACAGGAAAACATTTTGATATTTGAATAACAGAAGCCATGAAAGGATGTAAGCATATTCAGTCAAACTTCCATTTCTTTGGCAATTTCTTCCTCCTATCATCTTGCTTATGGGTAACTGGATGCTTGAACCTTCTGATTCAATCATCTAATTTTCTTTACCGTTTTCTTTTTTCTCTTTTTTCTTTTGTTCTCCTCGCTGGAGAATTTTCTCACCTTTATTTTCCATCCCCTTCATTTCATCGCAGTGGCTGCCGCCATGTTCTTTTCAATGTCCAGCAGCTCTTTCTTACTCTCGAAATGTCCCCTTTTAAAAAGCGACGTTCCTGATCCAACCGTGTTCCGTCCTTTCATCTCCTTGAGGATTTGCATTTTAGGTTCGTTTGTTTTCTGCATTTTCAGTTTCCTCAGAGCTCCCTTTGTCTCTTTTGTCCCTCATGGTAGAAGCGTTTCTTGAGTGTCTGGTGTTGTCTCTTTTATCTTAAAAGTGGGAAAACTGCCTCCTGGGTGACCCGTGAGTTGGGTCAGAGCCAGGATGAGCAGAGGGAGTGGTGCATGCAGAAGGTGGGGGCCAACTCAGCCCAAACTCCTTCCCCCGCCCTCCCCCACTACCCTGGCTGGGGAGGCAGAGATGCTGATGAGACAAGGAGGCTCCAGGCTGGAGGCTGTTCTCAGCAAGGCCTTACTGAAGGGTGGCCGTGCCCCCGTGTGGGGGCTGTGGGCTGGGAGAGGAAGGCCTCTGAGGTCGACAGCCAGCCCTCCGGCCCTCTCCCAGCACACTGGGCCCCAAGCCTCGCTGATAAGTTGGTCTGCCAGAGAGCAGAGGAGGCAGGGCCAGTGCTTGCCCTGTAGTTATTGCCCTTGATAACCCCTGAGTTGGCAGAGGGCCAGTTGGCTGTACCCACTCTTGGACTGAGGCAAAGTTGTGGGCTTGCTGCCCTGGCACCTTCCCTGTCCCCAGGCACTTGTCCATGCACACAAACAGACTTTAACCCCAGGTGCCCCCGCCCCTTGCAATCTGCTGGCTAATCATGGCCTTGGGGACAGGAGGTGCTGGAGGGACTCTGATCCTGGTTCTGCATCCCCTGGGCCTCAGTCTTCCCATCTGTCCAATGGGTGGAGTTGGATGGAGAGGACCTCAGGTTTCCAGCTGTGGCCCCTGGGGAGTCGGTCAGGTCCTCCCCAGGGGCAGTCCGTCACCCTCATGTTTTGTCCCCAGGAAGAGGGGGGTCGCCCTCCCTGCTGACACAGTTGAGGAGCTGAAGAACATCATTGGCATGGACAAGCCACTCACCCTCCCGGGCTTCCTGGCCAAGTTCAACTACTACATGCCTGCCATCGCGTGAGTCCCCCACCCTCGGGCCCTGGTCAGTGTCCATCCTGTGCCCAGGACAGGCTGCCAGCCGCAGGCTGCCTGCCCCTCAGCCCTTGGGGTGGAGACCCCAGCTCTGCTGTTCACCATCATGTATACTTGCTTGACTATCTCCATGCCTTTGGGCTTTGGTTTTCCTTTCTGGAAAGTGGGTGTGATGGACTGACATTCAGTAGAGAAGTGACACAGTGTGGGGGTTAGGAACACAGATCCTCGTCTCGGTCTCATGACATGATGTTGGGCACATTCCCTCTGGGCCTCAGGCCCCTCATTCACACAGTGGCCTTGTGATCCCGTCCGTCTCCCAGGGCTGGAGTTTGGGCTGGACAAGGGCTGTCCTCGCACTCCCCCTCACGATGGAGCACCCGCCACCTTCACCGACAGGCACCGGTGCTTGTATGTCACGATGCATGCCTTCCATTTTCCTCCTAGCAGACTCTCATAGATGAACATAATGTTTGCACAGCTCACAGAACTAGACTTCCTGTAGTCGTCCGCTAGGTAAACTTACTCATTTCCAGAGCGGGGAATGAAGGCTCAGGGAAGTGAAGGGCTTGCCCAGGACCCCACAGCTGGCAGGGGATAAAGCCCAGAGTCTCGCCTCGGTGCCACCTTGAGCTTCCTGGCAAGAGGCAGAGCTTCCCAAGGCAGGCGAGAATCAGCTTTGCCAGTTGGTGCTGCAGCAACTCGGCACGGGGAGAGACGAGGGGGCTGGGGGCAGTCAGGAAGGGCTGCCTGGAGGAGGAAGTATGGACCTGGCCTTGGGATAGAGAGGGTGTGATATTGTCCAGAGGGCTAGGCCTGAGGAAAGGCTTGGAGGGTGGGCCAAGCACTGGCCGGTGGAGGATCAGCGAAGGTGTGTGAGGCAGAACAGAGGCACTGGCTGGGTAAGTGGCCAAACAGGTACAAGCAGGGAAGGAAGATGTGTGGTGAGGTGGCCGACTTCTTGCAGGAAGCCTTTGGGCTCAGCCTGGAAGGCACTGACTGCCCCCATCCTCGCCTCCGGTGAGCAGGCACATACCACCTCCCCGAGGTTCCTGCTGCCACCCCAGAACGTATGAGCAGGCCTGGGCACCTCCCCTGTGCCACCGAGGCAGCTCCTGTCTCCCTGGCCAGCTCCGTGAAGGCCCAGCCCACCCCGGCTGCTAGACGGCACCTCCTGCAGAGCTGCCTGGCTGTTTGGGGCCATGGCCCCCGAGACTCTGACTCTCCACCCCCTTGCAGCACACACAGGGGTCAGACGGAAGCCCTCAGCGCCTGCCACTCGCCGCTTGGCTCCGCCTCTCCAGCCACATTGGCTCCTGTGGCACCTTGGGCAGACCTCACCCCGGACCTCAGGTCCCCTGCCACTGCTGTTCCCTCTGCCTGGAACACTGTTCCTTAGATGCCCCGGCACTCACTTCCTCGCCTCCTTCACGTCTTTGCTCATGTCACTCTCTCAGTGAGGCCTTCCCTGATCAACTACTGAAAACTGCAGTCCCTCCCCATCACATTCCATGCCCCTGCCCCTGCTTTGTGTGTACCCATAAAACTTTCCACCGTCTCTCCTAGGATATATTTTATATCTTACTTCTTTCCTTCCCTGTCCTTCTTGCTAAGCTGTGGGCTCTGTGAGGGCAGGGATTTTGTCTACCTGGTTTGCTGTATCCCCTGCCCTCAGTGCAGTGTGGAAGGAGCCCCCAGCCATGGGGGAGATAAGGACCCTCCCAGGGCTGGCCCCGCCCCCTCCCCAGGACTGGCCCCGCCCCCAGGGATTTCCCACAGCAGCTGCCCATCCTCATCCTGGCTCTCCAAAGCGCAGGTCCTTCCATGACCCTCCCCTGGAAGCGGCCGCTCTCACAGTCTGCTTTCTAGTACCCGCTCCCTTTCATGCTTCCTGGTGGGAACTCCCGGCTAAGGCAGGTCCCCTGTCATCTGATCACACTCATCGTGGCCCTGGCAGGTTAGTTTGCGCCTTGCTTCTGGAGCCCACATTCAGAAATAACAGCTAAAACACTGAGCATTTGTCTGTCTGTTCCAAGCACTGGCTCAGGTGAGTTTTAACTCATTTGTCCTCACAATAACCCTTTGATGGATGTGCCAGAGAAGGTGACTAGCTGGGGTCACACAGCTGGTAGGTGTGAGAACCAGGGTTCCAGTCTGAGTCCCAGGTATCGCCCTCATCCCAGAGTTCCCTCCAGATTTGTCCATCTGTGTCCTTTTCTCTCTTCTTTAGAATATACTTTTACTGATTTCAGAGAGGAAAGGAGAGAGAAAGAGAGCTAGAAACATCAGTGATGAAAGGGAATCACTGATCGGCTGCCTCCTGCACACCCCACACTGGGGACTGAGCCCACAACCCGGGCATGTGCCCTGACCGGGAATCAATCCATGACCTCCTGGTTCATAGACTGACACTCAGCCCCTGAGCCACGCCAGCCGGGCTACAGAATTTATGTTTTTTGGCTGTTGGTCCCTTAGCAGGTTTCTGGTTGGCACCCCCTGTCTCCCATTCCGTAGCTCCTCTTTTCCCTGCTGAGTTTCCTCTGCAGGCAGCTTTCAGTGTGATGCAATCCCACTTGTCTATTTTTGCTCTGTGGCCTGTGTGTGTCCTTCTCTCTCATTTCTCTTCCCTGCTGGCCTACCTCCATCACTCAGCAAACATCGAGTGGCCACTCTGTCCTAGGCTCTGTCCTCGGCTGCGGGATCATAGCAGTGTCAAGACAGATGGAGGAGTCCTTGCCCATGGCGACGGCATTCTAGTAGGGGGACGGAAACTGGCTGACAAGCCATGGGAGACGTGTAATGTCGGTGGTAATAAGGGCCATGGAGAAAGGAAAGTTCAGGGGACGGGGTGGAGAATGCCAGGGGGCCGTTAAGATGAGGTGGGAGAGGCCTCTCTGAGGAGGTGAGATGGGGCTGGGGCCTGAGTGGAGAGGGGGAGCGAGCACAGGACGACGTGGTGAAAGGCCATGGAGGCTGGGAGCCGCAGACACGAAGGCCCAGATGTGGGAGCAAGCTGGTGGGGCGCAGGGGATTTCATCCCACACGACGGGAGCCCTTGGGTGTGGAGCAGAGGAGCACGTGCTCTGATCTGCAGAAGATCCGCTCTGCCTGCTGTGAGGAAAGGCACAGGGAGCATGGAGCCCAGTTAGACGCGGGTGAGGCCAGGTGAAGGGGGCGAGACCTGGCAGTTTGGACGCTGAGCTGACAGGACCGGCCGTGCTTCCAGGATCTTCTCCAGCGGAGGCCCAGGGCTTGGCACTGGAGGATAAGGATCGGGGCCAGAAGTGGGCCTGATCGGCCAAGGGTTGGGGCCAGTCTTGTTCCTGCAGCTCTGAAGGGACACTGGAGAGGGCTGTCCCTTCCCTTCCAGGGGCTGCCGGGAGGCCATCAAAAGGATTGCCTATGAGTTCGTTGAGATGAAGGCCAAGGAGGGCGTGGTGTACGTGGAGGTGCGTTACAGCCCACACCTGCTGGCCAACTACAAGGTGGAGCCGATGCCCTGGAACCAGCCCAAGTGAGTGACCACGCGGAGGGGCTGGGGCAGGGCGGCCCAACCTGGGGTCCGAGGGACACACTGTTGGGAGGCCCTGGCCCAACGAGACTTTGATCTTGCCCCTTCCCCACCCCCACCCCCCCCGACCTGGTCTGCGGCCTTGGAAAGAGGGGCTCAACTCTGTCCTGAGAGACAGGGTTCCCATCCCTCCCTGGGCTCATGCTTTAACTTTGGGAGAAAGCGTTTGGCATCTTGTCACCCTAATCCTAGACACAGACCTGCAGCCACTACTTATCCAGTCACCTCCAGGTCCTGCTCTGACCCCGTAACTGAAGCGAGTCTGGCTCATTCCTGCCCCTTGCCTGGACCCAGGGCTCTAGAAGTGCTATCACCCAGCCACCCTGCCCCTTCTAGCCATGACTCTGACACAAGTGAACAAGTGGGACTCAGACCGGGTGAGCTCAGCACTGCTCCCCATCTGGGGGCAGGGCTCTGAGTGTCTGAGCACCCCCGCCTCCAACCCCCCCCCCCACACACACACACACATCATCCAGGTCTGGAAGTGCCTGGCAGTTCTAAGGAAGCCGGAGGGGGGTGTACTGGGCTTGGGCCGGCTCCCTCAGTGTTATCCCTCCCCCCTCCTCTGACCCAGTCCCAGGGCTGTCCCCTCAGACCTTCCTTTGTCCCAGACCCATCCCTACTCCTCTCTCCACACAGAGGGGACATCACCCCAGATGAGGTGGTGTCCCTAGTGAACCAGGGCCTGCAGGAGGGAGAGCGAGACTTCGGGGTGAAGGTGCGGTCCATCCTCTGCTGCATGCGCCATGAGCCCAGTGAGTGTCACCTCGGCCCTGCCCTGGGCTGCGCATCTTACCAGCCCCAACCTCCCGGCCGGTGCTGGGACGGCACTGGTCTCCTCTGCGCCCCTGCCACCTGGTATCCCCTTGAGCCCAGCAGCTGCACCTTAGGGCTTCCTGAAGCCGTCAGAGTCCTCCTGGGCAGGCTCCAGGCGTCTAGCAGCAGACTTCTCTCCCTGGGGAAACCAGGCACACAGCCACCTGACCTGCAGGTGGTTCAAAACCAAGGAGTCTGAACAACAGAAAACAATCTAAGCCAGGCTCTGATCAGCCCATGGTTCGCCCTTGAGACCCTGTGGGCCAGGCCACAGGACCTGTGAGTAGGTCTGACCTCTGGGACCTGAGGGGTCTCCCTTGTGACTGACACTGATCAAACCTCCAGGAACTTCCAAGGTGCAGGGCCCCACTGTATGACCTTGGGCAAGTCCCCTCACCTCCCTGACCTCGGGCACACACTGTCCACCGAGCAATAGTGAGGACCACAGCAACGTTAACGCCAGCCTGCCAGGCCCACCGCACATAGCGACTTAGCTGTATTCCCTCCGGTCCCTGCAGCAGCCTGTGAGAACTGCCGCTGTTTATCCCATTTGACAGATGAGGAAACTGAGACAGAGAGGGACAGCCTCTTGCTCTTCAATCAGGAAGGCAGAAAGCTCTCATTTGGACCCAGGGCCACCTGGTTCCAAAGCCTGTGATTTTTCATTCATTTTAAAACGCTTAATGATGAGTTTGCCGGTTAAGAGTCCACAGTTCCTTAGCCATATGGTTAGTAATGCCGGCAGGTCATGTGTTAGATTTAAACGTTAAACTGTGTGGGCTCCCTCTCCTCGTCTAAGTGGGGATGAGCCCACCTTGAGGGCTGTTGTGGCGACAAAGGAGAGAACGGCCATTGGTCGTGTACTGAGCCCCGGCCCTGCCCTCAGTGCTACACACAGCATCTCGGCACCGCCTTGCAGTCGAGACCCTGTGCCATCGCGGGTGGTGTCCCTCTGAGAGGAGCAGTTTGCTGAGGCCATGTGGTTAGCTGTGGCCGTCAGGGTCTGAAGACGGGACCCCGGGCCTTCTGTCATGTGCTGGCCTCGGGTGGAGGGTGAGTGGGATGGGGAGCAAGCAGGCGCTCTGGAAGGATTGCTCCCTGGTGGCGGCTGTGACAGAGGCTGGGGGGCATCTCGCCCACAGGCTGGTCTGCCAAGGTGGTGGAGCTGTGTAAGAAGTACCAGCATCAGACCGTGGTGGGCATCGATCTGGCCGGGGATGAGACCATCACAGGCAGCAGCCTCTTCCCTGGACATGTGCAGGCCTACGAGGTGGGTCCCGGGGAAGGAAGGGGGAGACTGGCCCGGAGGCTCTGGGAGCAGCAGCTGGGCTCTGCCCACAGTAGGGAGACGTCACACGGACTCACACGGACTGTGCGGCACGAGGTCTCCTGGGTTCCCAAGCATCTTAGTTGGGCCTGCGGGCTCTGGGGTGTGAATTTGGTGTAAAGAAAAGACCCCACTTGCTGTTGGGCATCTTTCTGCCTGTGATTTGCTGTGACCTTGGGCGACACAGTCTCTTCGCTGGGCCTGTGTGGGGCAGACGGCTCAGCCTCCTGTGGAAGGAGTGAGGTGCAGGGTTGCGAGTGGGGCTCTGGACAGTCACTGCCCGGGTCCAGAGCCTGGCTTCCCACGTCCCAGCTGTCTGACCTTGGTCATGTTCCTTACTTTCCTGAGTCTGCGAGGCCCTCCCCGAGGCACCCACGACCTGGCTCTTGTCCTTCCAGGAGGCTGTGAGGAACGGCATTCACCGCACCGTCCATGCCGGGGAGGCTGGCTCTGCAGAGAGGGTGAAAGAGGTGAGGCAGCCGGCGGCTGCGGGCCCTCCCCCTGCGCCCGCCTCCCCTCACTGGACTCCCATCTGCTTCCCTGCAGGCTGTGGACAATCTCAAGACAGAGAGGGTGGGCCATGGCTACCACACCGTGGAGGATGAGGCCCTTTACAAAAGGCTGCTAGAGAACAACATGCACTTTGAGGTGCCTGGGGGTTGGGGGGTGCAGAGGTGGGGAGCCAGGAGGGGCCTGGGAGCCAAAGGAGTGGGCACTCAAGCTGCCAGGTGGTAGAGGAAGACTGGGATGGACAGCTCATGGGAGTCGGCAACAGGGAGGCCAGTGTGACCATGGCCGGAATAGGTGGCTCCAGGCCCTGGGCGTGGGGGTGTAGTCCGAGCGGCCTGGGATGTCTATGCCAGCCACACGCCTGCTTGCTCCTCCAGGTCTGCCCCTGGTCCAGCTACCTCACGGGCTCCTGGAACCCAGACACGGAGCATGCAGTCGTTCGGTGAGGCTCGCTCCCCTGGGGCTGGTTCAGTCTTGCACCAGGAGAGCTCAGGGTGGCAGAAATGCAGGGTCTGGGCACTGGCTGTGCTGGGTCTCCTGATACAAAATCTGTCTGAATCCTTGGGAAGCGGGTTTACCATCCTTGTCTTAAAAATGAGGACTCCAAAGCTCGATGTGCTGTAACCTGATTACCTAGCAGAGCTGGGGCCCTGTAGCCCATTGAGCTATGCCAGGATGTCCTGCTGCCCCATGGGAAACTGGCACTCGAGACCCTGCCTCTAAGGGGTCGGGAGGATGAGTGCCTCCTGCTCACGTGGGCTCTCTCGGCCCCCCTGGGCATCCCCACAAGCACCATCCTGAAGCTTCCCCGAGGCCTGTCCCATCCCACACCACTCCCACCCCACAGTCCACCCCACAGCCATGGCCCGTCTTCAGGCTGTCCTTTGACTAAGCCCTGGGGGTGGCATCAGGCCTTGGGAGGGCAAAGCCACCTGCCCTGACCCAGATGAGGACAGCAAGAACTCGGGGTGATCACGGGCAGGCCAGCACCGCTCTGTCTGCCAAGCTTCTGCGAAGGGAAGGAGTATGGGCCCCGATGTTGATCAAAGGGGGTGCTGAACTCAGCTTTGGGGAAGAGGACTGTGCACTTCCTGTGGCTCATCCGGGGAGGTTCTTGGAGGCACATGGGAAAAATTCAAGAGCCATTTACCCAGACGGGGTGGAAGGGAGAAGTGATAGCCTACAGAGATGGGGAGGAAGAGGGCCTGAGAGAGAACCCAGGAAGTGACAGTTATGGGACAGGCAGGAGGAAAGCCAACGTGTGGTGTCTGAGAACTCGAGGGAAAAGGTCCCACGAACAGTCAACAGTGTAGAATTCTGCACAGGTCAGGTGCAGTAAGAGCTGAAAGTCCACTGGACTTAAGGAGACTGTGGGCAGGGACCGTGCCGTGCCGTTCCTTGAGAAGCAGAGCCCAGGAGGATTGAGGACGCATAGGGTTAGGCTAGGGCTAGGGCACTGACAGCTCTCCCAGAACGTTGGCTGTGCAGGGTGGTAGCTGGAGGGGGGTGCTGTGTCTCCCCCCAACCCACCATTCTAGCTGGCCCCCTCTTCTGCCGTTGCCTGGCTCTGGCTTGATCAGATGGCTTGTCTTGGGTTCCTAGTTATGTGGCCTTGCACAAGTCACCCACGTTCTCTGAACTGGTTTCTTCCTCTGCCTAAGATCTTCCAGGTGTGTGTAAAGATGATGTGAGGCTCGAGGAGGGTGTCGGGTTGATATGCAGTGACTGTTCACAAGAGAGTAAAGGGAGGCTCTTCCCCCACATCTAGATTCAAAAGGGACCAGGCTAACTACTCGCTAAACACGGATGACCCGCTCATCTTCAAGTCTACCCTGGACACCGATTACCAGATGACCAAACAGAAGATGGGCTTTACCGAAGAGGAGTTTAAGAGACTGGTGAGTGGGTGTGGGCCCGGCCGGCCTTGACTCTGAGCCCCGGGACTGTGAGGCCTGCAGGGTCTGGAACCTCTGAGGAGGAGTGGGTTTACCTCAATAGGCCAAGCCAAGCCAGACCTAAAGTTAGATGCCTTCCACCGAGTGACGTATTGACCTGGGACCAGGTGTTTTATTCTTTGCTTGCCCTCAAAGATTCTGATGAAAGCCACCCACCCTCTCCCAAAAAATGTGGGGTCAGCTATAAAATTCTGCACTTTCAAGCCGTTCATAGATCCCAGGGTTGAGCTCTTGGTTTTAGATGGTACAATTTCCCAAACCTGTCTCTGCATGACTATCTCTTTGGTCCCCTACATCCCACCCTGCCTCTCAAAGTTTCTCCAACTTCGTTCTCACATTACTGTATCATGGAGTGCCACTTTAAAAAATTTTTTTTTAAATATATTTTTATTGATTTTAGAGAAGGAGAGGGAGAGAAACATCAGTGATATGCGAGAATCATTACTTGGTTGCCTCCTGCATGTCCCACACTGGGGATTGAGCCTACAACCTAGGCACGTGCCCTGACCAGGAATTGAACCATGACCTCCTGGTTCATAGGTTGATGCTCAACCGCTGAGCCACGTCAGCTGGGCTGGAGTGCCACTTTTGAGATCACAGAACCGCATGGTTTCTGCTCTGGCAGTGACTGACCTGGGACAAGTCCCTTCCTCTCCGAGCTTAATCAACCGCCCTCATTCAGTGAGGAGCGTGGACTATCACTAGATTTCCACAGCATCCCTTCCACACTCGCTGGTTCATGCTGTCTGCCATTCGGACTCTTCCAGAATATCAATGCGGCAAAGTCCAGTTTCCTCCCAGAAGATGAAAAGAGGGAGCTGCTGGACCTGCTCTATAAAGCCTACGGGATGTCGCCTGCAGCCTCTGCAGGTACGCTCCTGTCTGCGCTTCTGGGCCACGCACCTGCCTGGCTCGTTTAGCTTTCTGTGGGGCCCCCGGCGAGACGTCCTCTCTGGGTAGCACCAAGGACTTGTAATGGCGCCTGGGCACAGGGCCTAGCTGGGGCAGCCTTTCACCACCCGGCCTACGTTCTGTGTAATGCTGTCCTGAGGCTGGCCTGAGGGGGAGACTTTGTGAAGGTCTTAGCTGTTCTGCTCCTTCCTGTGTGGCCTTGGCAAGGCGTTTTCTGGCTCTAAGTCTCCACAGGGGACTCCTGTGGCTCTAATGCTCTGTGATTCTTTATGCCCTGGGTACTGGGACTTGCCTAATCTTTCTGCTTCTCTGACCCGGCCAGTAGGGCAGCAACCATGAAGGCATCACGGCCACTGCTCCGAGCCGCGCCCTGTGGATGGAGATTTCATAGCTCTGGGCGGTCAAGCGACACCCACCTTTACTTCCCTGGGAAGACCATGATTTCCATAGTCAGCTACTGATGCTACTGGAAGCCTGTGTGCCCCTGCTGTGCCCACACACAGCGTGGCATGGTCAACTCCCTCCTCTGGTGATGAAACCCTCCTCCTCTGGTGATTTATGCTGAAAAGCTGGTGCTCAATAAAGAAGCCAACGGCTGGTGTCGTGCAGCACGTGATGCCTGGTCTTGGGCAGGACGACTGGGTGGGGTGAGAGAAAGGAGCATGTAGGGCAGCTTGCCCAGTGGCAGGGCCCAAGAGCCCAGCGGGGGCTGTGACTGGGAAGCCAGAGCTCCCATGCTGGGGGGAGGGGCCCACACCTGCCCTCCCGAAGCAGCCAGGCTTCTCTCGAGGAGTTGTCTGCTTACAGGCTCCCTGAACTCTCAGCCCCTCCTGTTCTAGGTTTTAAGGGAAAACCTTCCCTTTGGGCTCCTGAAGCTGGACGGGTGAGAGGGCGAGGGAAGAAGATTCCTCGGCCACCAGCATCTGCTCAGTGTTTTCTTTCTGTGGGAGCTGGGGCAGCAACGGATCGTAGCCAATGTGGACGTGGCCTCGCTCCCGCTTGTGCTGTTTAACGGAGAAATAATCATCGTAAACCAGCCACACAAATCACCAGCATTTATTTCCTGGGTCCCGGGTGTTGTTCATCTTGGTAGAAAGGAAGGACAGAGTTGATCAGAGCACAGAAATCCCTTCCCTAAAACTGGATCTGTAAAGCTCCAGGAGGGAACCGCAGACGCGTGGAATTTGGATTAAAACGGCTTTCACAAAAAAGTGGATTGATTGTCAGCTCCTTCCCTCTCTGCTGAAAAAGGTTTACAATTTTTTTAAAAAGGGATCAGATCAGAAGGTCTTGACCTGGACGGTTGGTTTTGGAGAAGAAGGGGCAGAACTGGGACATGGTCGCTGCCCAGGTCGCCTAGGAGAGGAGCTGCCTTGGGTGGGCTGCTCACCCAGGTGAGCAGAACCCAGCCCTTGAGTCTCAGTGCCCCACGAAAAATAACATCCTGTGGTCAGAGTGTCTTAAAAGTGTACCTGGGCACGATGAGGAGGTGGTAGCGTGGAGCCTGTGGGTGTGGGCAGAGGGCCTGCCCGGGGGAGGGCCTCTGGGGGCGCCTCAGTCTGACCTTGCTTGCCTGGAACACGGGGCGCAGAAGAGGCTGCCGGGCCAGCGCCAGGACTCCCTGCCCAGGTGGGGACAGCAGGTCTCTCTTCCAGCCTCCTTGGGCAAGGTCAGACTCAAGATGAGGTGGTCCCGTCACTGCTCTCAGGCTGGTTGCTAGCCTCCTTGTCTGAGGCACCTGCCTCCGCCTGTCCTTCTGGAGAGAAGGGGAAGAGGAACATATACACAAACGTAAAGCACAGGTGACAGGGAGGACCCGGCCAAAACGGTAACAGTGGATGAGCCCTGGGTGCAGGATAGGAGCTGGCTGAGAGGTGGGGGCAGCCAAAGGGAACTGGAGCCTTGTCTCTAACATTTCAGTGCTTACAAAGAAAATGCCCGTGACATTACTAGCATCATCACATCAATCAAAGGCCAGGATCATGGATGGGTGCTAAAAGCCACCGGCGAAGGGCTGTGCAGGTTCTCTAGGAGGAGAGGGCAAATGGGAGGTCCCAGCAAGTAACAGGTGCTCAGCGAATGGTAGTTCTCAGAAGACAGAAAAGGGCATGAGGAAAAGGCATCAGACTAGGCCAGCTCAGGAGAGTGCCAGGGGATGGCCTGCATCAGGGTTAGGGCTGGAGCCTATGACTGTTCCGTTCTGCGGTGTCCTCACCAGACCAGCCGAACCTCCCTCTCTGGCCTCTGTCTTTGCATCCTCGGGCTAAGCCTTTCCCATGACAGAACCACCACCCTGTGCCGAGCTCCAGGCAACCCACCCAGCAGCCTGGGGTGTGATTCGGGGCCTGATACCATGAGAAACAGGCTCAGAGAGGTGAACTGATTTGCCTGAGATCAGCGATGGAGGGAGCCAGTGTCCCTTCCAGGAAATTCACCTCCTGCCAAAGCATCACTGGGGTTTGTAAAGGCCTGGCGCCATCCACACTGCCTCACTGTGCCCTTGCAGGAGTCTTGGGAAGCAGGTGTTAGTAGGAGCAAGTGGTACAGGCAGAATGTGGGCATCTGTCTCTCTGCCAGGCTACCTCCTATCCTGGTGGTGCTCATAGCAAAGGCTTGGTCCTGGAGGGCCCTTCTGCCCTCTCCAGAGGCCTGACAATTTAGATGGCACTTTGGGCAAATTTCCCAGCTTGCGATGCCTTATTTGGCCCTGAGCCTCCTGCCCCAGCAGGTAGAAAGCATCTTGTTAGATCCCATAGTAATCTCTGCTCTGCCATTTCCTTGCTGTGGAATCATGAACAACATTTCATCTCTCTGGGCCTCTGCTTCCTGATCATAAAGTGAGGATGATGACACCTCTCTCTGTCATGAAGGGGAGTGCTGGGCCTGCACGTGACCATTTGACACAGGGGAATGTCTCAGCCAATGGCAATGCTTCCTCTGTGCCAGTCCCGGCTCTCCTGGTACGTTCCGCTCCAACCAGCACCCTCGGGACTTCTGGGGCCCATCTCAGCACCATTTGAAGATGCCAGGCAGTGTACTCGTTTCCTCAGGCCTTGTCTGTTGTTTCTCATTGTAAGGCCAAGGAAGGAAAGGTTTGTGCTCCTCACGTAAGGAAATTCCAGGGAAGACAGGTCTGCACACAGCCTGCTGTGCACCCATCTCCTGGAAGCTTTAAGCAAACATCTGAGCAGCGGGATCAGATCCTCGGATTGCTACTCCCTCGGTAAGTGCCGGACAGCATGGAGGGCCTGCCTGCGTAACCGGCTCCGAGCAGGGCTCCTCGGCCAGTCTGGCCTGCACTCCACCCTGAGCGCTTCACTTCCTTGAAGTGAGCACTATTCCTCTCTCAGGTCCTTTTTAATGCCAGTCACCCTGGAAGGAAAAGGCGCCCGCTGGGCGACACTTCAGAGAGTTTGGATTGGCTGGGGAAACAGGTTGTAGAAGGGCCTGGGCCCATGACGAGTGGCTGCAACTGCGGAGGTAGAGGGAGACTGAAACAGCTCACCAGAGCTGAGGATACAGAAGCCCTGGCAGCATGCCCGGGCGGCAGCTGGTCAAGAGCTAGACAGTGAACAGCCACTGACTAGGCGCCTCCACCATGTTCCAAATGTGCCAGGCACCGAGGGCACAAGACAAAGATCTGTGTGGGAGAAGCTCACAGCCTGGAGAAGGGGCACTGCTGCGCGCGATTAGAGGCAGAGAGAGGATGTGCCTTCCCCGGCCTCAGAGGGGGTGCGGTCAGGGCAGCTGGGTTTCTGAGAAAGAGGAGAAAAGCCAGGGCAGGGGAAGGCAGGGAGGACTGGACAGGGGAAGAATGGTGTTCAGCCCATAAGGGGCTTTTAAGAAACAGTACGTTCCTCTGGCTGGACCAGAAGCACCAAGGGAGAAGGATGAGCTGAGGTGAGCAGGGTGACGGGTGGAGCTCGTGCCTGGGTAGGGAGTGTGGGCCACATAAGGGGGGGCTGACAGAACAGAGAAGGGATGTGGGTGCTGGGGGAAACCAGGTTCTCATTCTGTGAACTTGCTGGTGACCCTGAGCAAGCTACCCACTTCTCTGCACACATTTGTCCAGATTAAATAACATGGCAGGTTGGTCCAGGCCCCCACAAAGTCTTCTCTGTTCTGTACTCACAGGGGAAGGAGGAGGGGAGAAGGGAGGGAGATGGTGGGGAAGAGCCTCACAGAGGGGATAGCAGATGCGGTTTCCTCCACTTATTCACTCAGCCTGTGGTTGCCAAACACCTGCTCTTGCCAGCGGAACAGAGGCCCTTGCTCTCCTGGAGCTCATATTTAAACCCAGGAGACCTGTCAGAGTGCTGAGGAGTCATGTGACCAGGGAGGGCCAATGAGAGCTGTCAGAAAGCCCCTTTGAGCACCTGGTATCTGAGCTTGGGCATGAGGTGGCAGCCACAGGGCTGGGTGGTGGCTGTCTAGCAGCGGAAACAGGGAGACGTGCAAAAGTGCTGGAGGGTTCTGACCTGCCCCCTCCAGTGCCAGCTCGCCCATGTCTCCAGCCAGCTTCCTCACGCTCACGGCCTCCGAGTCTCCCTGGATGTCAGGGACTGCATTCCGACGGCCTGTCCGGTCACAGGAGATGAAGTCCGAGTAGGAGGAGGACTCGACCTCCATCATGCCTGTCGCATTGTTCTTCAGGCCTGTGGGGACAAGGGCAGGAGGGCAGTGAGTCCGGGTGCATCTGCAGGGAGACACAGCTCGGGTCTCCAACACCAATGTCTTGACAAAAACGTAGTTTGTAGGGTGAATCAACAGGACCTGGTGTTTGATTGATGGGGAGAGAGCTTTCTGAGATGAGAAAGTAGGTGGATGAAGTGTGGTTTCCTGAGAGGAGGAGTCCTTTGGGGAGTGACGGCGGGTGATTCAGAGTCCTGTTTGACCGTATTAACTCTGAGATGCTTCGAGCCCTTTAAGGGGAAAGGCAGAGTAGGTCAAGGAGAGATGGGTATGGCATGGGGAGGAAAGGTAGGAGATCAGAAGTTAAGGCCACAGAGATGGTGGCTAACCCCCTGTGGTTAGTTATGTAGCCTAGAGAGAGAGGAGAACCATACATAAAAAGAGCCATATACATTGGGAAAATTATGTGGGGATCATACTACATATTGTATTTTATAGCCTACTCTTTGGAACATGTCACTGTACCATGATTTGATCTGTCCCCTAGAGAAGAACATGGAGGTACTTTCCAATTTCACACCATTCAGACACTACTAGGTCTTTATGTAAATCCTGAGAGTTTATTCCTAGAATTGCTGAGCTACATGGAAGGATGAAATAATTTTAAAACATTGCTTTGACACATTTCCAAGTTGCCTTCCCGAACGTACAGTGGGACAGTTAGGGGTGCCAACTGTCCGTGCAGTCAATAATCCACATATAACTTAAGTCAGCCTCTGCATAGTCAGATTCCCAGCTGCCAGCTGACCCTGAACAATGCAGGTCTGAAATGTGTGGGTCAATTGAAAAAAATCGGCGTGTAAATGGACCCACACAGTTCAAACCCACACTGTTCAAGAATCAACTGGTAATGACAAAAACAATGAGGGGGAAAAACTTATAAATTCATTACTGTTCCTATTTATATTCCCACAAGCAG